AAATGAATTTTGCCCCATTTTTATGACCATTCTTGCCACAATTGTTAAGTGAATCACTGCAGTTGTTAAATTGTTAACACAGTTGTTAAGTGAATCTGGCTTCCCCCCTTGACTTTGTCAAAAGGTCGCAAAAGGTGATCACCTGATCGTGAGACACTGCAATGGTCATAAATGTGAGCCAGTTTACAAGTGTCTTAATTTTGATCACGTGACCATGGGGATGCTGCATTGGTTGTAAACATGAAAAACGGTCGTAAGTTACTGTTTTCAGTCCTGTTGTGACTTTGAATAGTCACTAAATGAACTGTTGTAAGTCGAGGACTACCTGTGCTTCTTGTAAAGACATTGATATAAAATCTTAGCACAACGAGTCAAGAATCACTACTACCTTATGACTCTGTAAATGTAGGTATGTTATGGCCTCTGGGCCACATCTGGCCCTTTGGCTGTCCCTGTCCTGCCCACATGAAGTCAGTCTGAAACTAGAAATCAAGTACAAATGAGGATACACAATGTATGCAATACCACTGCATAGTTTTTGCTTTAAAAATGACTTTTCTTTTTTCAATTTATTTGTGGATGTTTGTGTGGGTGCCTACACACCTTCACAGCACTATTGGTGCGGCTCTGCCCAACAATCCGTTTTTCATATGGCCCCTTGGGAAAATTAATTGCCAATGTAGCCCAATGTAGCACAAGGCTTTTTTAAACTGTGTTCTGACCTAGGCTTCCTTAACAAGCATGAAGCAGAGTCTTGGTCCTGGCAAAATCTATTTTATTTACACGACTGTGAATTCCTTTCATTCACAGTCAGCAAGGCTTGGCAAACAGTCTTTCAGAGGAATATTTATCAACACGAACCTTATCTCACTTGGAGAGCTGCCAGATAACTAGTTTCCAAACACGGGGCAAGGCAACACTTGGCACAGTCTCTTATAATCACAAACAGAACTTTCCACTCTTGAAATGACGGAAGAAACAAATTGTTTCCTGCAAAAGCCCCCTCCCTGTTCGCTCCTCTTTTGTTTCCTATGGGAGGGGGTCAATCATCTCCAAGGTGTGGCTTTACTCCGAAGTCGACCCTGCTTTCTTCGTTGTTCTTGTCGTCTGTCAGCTCTGCGCATGCGCACACTGGGAACAGGCTCCAGCTGTTCCTCTGCCTCACTGCTGTCTAGCTTCCTCTCTGCCTCTCAATGCAGAGCCTTCATCTGAGCTTCCCTCAGCCCCTAGGACTGGCCCATATTCCTCCCCAACCTCTGCTGCCAGCACCGCTAGCCGCTGGTAGGCCACAACAAACTGATCTCTTTTTGATAAGTATGCAGAGGAGAGAGAATCAATTTTATCATTATTTCACTTCTACTACCCTTCATCCACATTACATATTGGCTTCATGTTACACTAGGTTCAAATGCATTTACCCAACTACATAAGGAATTCATTTACATATAGGAATGGGGCATCACAAACAAGAACCCGCATTTCACATCAGCTTCCTTATAACCTATATCTAGTTATTGGTGAAGAAGTGCCCAAAAATCTAGCTACATCTCTGGGAATGTGAGATCTTTTTGAATACTAATTTATTTTAATGTGTTATTGCAATGTTGCATCTCCATAACAATTCATCTGAGTTTGGCAAGCCTTGTCTCTATAAATTTTTATCCTTTTCAGGAAACTGTCTCCTATCATTTCTCCTTTTATTTTGATCCTAACAGAATCATTTTCCTTCTACCTTAGACGCAAGTCTAAGACAAAAAGCTCATTTCTGTGATTCTGTTAAAAGTTTGAAAATAACTTAATTAAGACAGGTTCAGAGTAACAGATTATAAGTGTTAAAAATTACTTCAGGATTTTATTTGAAATTATTGACTTACATCTATGACAGAGGAGCTACAACTACATCTTATTAGCATTCCTTGTGTGACCTTTGCATTCAGTTTTGCATTTTGGGAAAGGAGAAGAAGATGGATTTTTAAAAGGTAATATAAATATTCTATACCTTTTTTTATTATATTTTTTTATTTTTTATTAACAAACATGTAAAATACACAAACACAAAACCTAGACGTACACCACATTTACACAATACAAAATGAACAGGAGCTTCCTGTTCTTTCTAATAG